AGAAAATTGTTTTAAATAGTCAAATTACATACACAAAAAGAAAAATTAAAATTTTATTTTATAAAGGGGAATATCAAAATTATTAAAAATTAAACTTAACCTTTAAAGAAAATTAATTTAAATAGTCAAATTATATACACAATTATATACATATTCACATTTCTACTGCTTGTTAACTCATTAAAATCAATTACAAATCGACATTCATTAAAATGAGCTGAGGCTCTCAGTTGAAAACACATTGAGTAAGTTTACAACGTTAACATTGTTTCGCTTTGTGAAAATAACATAGAAATGCATTTCGTAATTGTAGTGTTAGAGGATATCAAATAAAATCAAATAACATTTAATTTTAATTAAAAAACGATGACTAATTTACTTATAAAAGGAAATTAAAATGTTTTTAATACTCAAATGTACAAAGTGTATTCCATATATTGTTCGAATGTAATGAATGCCCAACTAATTGGCTAATGACAAATGAAAGAGGAAAATTTGAAAATGTTTTTGCGCAATTACGAAGATGCATTTTGTTCGAACAGTCAATTCAATGAAAGCAGTCACAATATTAAAGGAATATGTGTTAATTAATATGCGTTTTAGATGCAGTCAGTTGGCAAGTACAAGAAATAGGATAAAATTAAAGTGAGATCTTAAAACAATGGTTATTGTTGGTGTATTTGTTTTTAAAGCAGATTAGCTAAGGAAAATAGCTTAATGGCCCTGGCCATATTTCGAAAGCAAAACTAAAAGCATATTGTGTTCGCCTAAATATGTGCAAATGAAATGTGCATCGAGCGTAAAAATTCAAGCCTCATCAGCTTAGCGCTTAGTGCGACCATTTACCCGGAAAATCTCCGGTAATGGGAAAAAAAAAAATCAATTAATTGGAATCGTGCATAATGAATGTCGGACAAACGTGTTTACAAGCCCGAAAAGGCAAACAAACCGATTTCCGATGACAAAATTACTCATTTACAATGCAATTTTGACGCTATATAAGAATCGTGTGCATACACGTGTGTGTATATGTGTACGTACATAGCACTACATATGTACACGTTACCGAGCATACATATATTACATTGTATCCTGGACGCTTTTGTTTCGAAGGACAGTAAATCATTGACCGAAATTGGTGCGCTTCAGTGGAGAGCTGAGCAAACACGGCGTAAATTAATAAATATTAAAATGTCCAGCCATGTCCTGGCCACCCCTCCATCTCGCTTCCTCCTGCTGACTTACTCATCTGGCACTTGAAAATGAACAAAGCGATAAAAAGCACAAAACACTCAGCCGAGGGGAGTGAGGGGGAATAGAGCAAACAAACTTCTGAGCCATTACACAACAAAATGGCGTTAACAGCGCAGCAAAAATGGCGAACATCCGGTTGGGTTCGCCACAGAAATACCCTTCTGGGATTTCACTTGCTGTTGAAAATTGTAGCATTTGGTAATGCCAGCATACCTCATCACATTTGCAGGGTGCATGGAAACCAAGCGAAACGATATATAAACAACAATTCAAATGCAAAACACACACACACACACACACACCCACTGCACTGCACGTATTGAAATAATATTTTTACATTTCATGTTGCCAAAAGGTTTATTCAGCGAGCAGACGGCAGTGAAAACCCTCTAAAGGCGGCAAAAAATAAAGAAGTGCCGGAAAAAACCAAGTCCAACCACAGACGGACAGCAGCTCCGCGGGGAACCACCGAAAGGGGTGAGTGGGGAGCGGGGCTCCCGAAATATGCAATGATAATCAGAAAGGCAAACACGAAGTGAAAACTCCATGGGGGCCATCAGGATCAGCATTTGCCTCCGCATCTGCATCCGCATCAACGTCAACATCAGCAGGCGAAATGCTGTTGGTTTTCCCATTGGTTGCTGATGTTTCTGATTGTGATTCTGCACTCAGAAAATAGAATTGCCTCAATTTAAGGAATTATGAACTCGAGTGCCCGAAATGTAGGTTTAGGAAAGTGAACGCATGGCCATTCATTAAACGTTTAAGGCCATAAAATGTAGGGAGTTTGGGTTGGAATGGGACTCTAGTTCAGCGGTGGTCACTGAATACGAACAGAATATAATATTATCTTCGTTCAATCATTTTTAGATATTTATGCATGTTGATATACTCTTAAGGTTTTTTTAAGTACAGTTATTTATACACCAAAAAACGTAAATTTTATTGAATATTTTCAAAACTTTTATTAGTACATTTGCATATCATACTAAGAAGCTCTCTAATTCAGAATTTCAGAAAGTCTTTCACAAATTCCTTTCCATTATAAACAGAATAATAATATGTACAATATTACATTAAATACCTAATCTGAAAAGTGGTGTTTCAAGTGAGATAGTATATTTTTGAAAGTTCAATTCATTCGAATCCCAGACATACAAAGTACTTAAAGCTAAAACACCTAATAAAGAGGCTAGGTACAAAGACCTAGGATCATATCACGATATTTAGAGTCCTTTGTATGAGCTTTAAGTTCATAATTTTTTCTGGCTGTGATTCTGAATCAGCCGCTTCTGTTTGCCAGTCAATCAAGGCACAGGGAGCACTGTGGCGGCACCACCACACCACTATGTGTGGCTTTGGCTTTCGGTGCCCCACCCAGCACCACACGAGCAGCACTAATTGTGATGGTTTAATTGGCCAGGCCAAGCACAGCCACATTATTTAGAGGCATTTTTAAAGTCAATGACAATTGGACCGGCAACAGGTCAATTTAGTCCTTGAAATAGAAATATAAATGCCTAACTGCATAATCCTCAACGATATACCTGTCACCAATTAGCACAAATGCCAATTAGCTTTGCTGAAATATTTATAATAACTAATTATGATCTGTAATAATACTTTACTGCAATGCATATTTAATAAAGTAATGCTTCTGCCAATTAATAAATAATTTAACTCTAATTACCCAACCTTTTTGCCTAATTCGAAACTTTCCTTATTATTAAAAAAAAATAAAATTCTATCAAATTAGCTGCTGTTGCGCTTATATTTCCTTGACCTGCATTATTTACGAGCTTCTCGCTTACCACTTCACTATTTATTTATTTACATGCAACATTTCAATTAAATTTCAATTTATTTCTGCAAGCTCATTGATTATGCATGGCAATTAATTTTATGCAATTTTCAGTACGCAATATTTTCAATTAGTCGGGCAAGTGGAGGAGGCCAGCAGGCGAGGGGGTCTGAGGGACTTAGACAGCATAATATGCTAACTATCCACCCGGAGCCACCACACCCACTCGCTGTAATTAATACAGTCCGGGTCTGAGGCGGCATTCCAGAGATTGGTTGGCTTCAGTTGCATGAGAAAGGATTATGCAGAGGACGGGCCTAGTCCGGAGATACAGAGAGGGACATGCTAAAACAGAGGCAGGCATATTGAATGTCCGAGGAGCAGACAATTAGTTGCTCATGTGACAAATGCAAGGCCAGGCAAAATAAAGTGGACCCAACAAAAGACGAAAAAATGGGGGAAAGGGAGCCGGGCTGAGTTGGCATCTAAAATTGCATTTAAATAATGAAAAAGGCTTAAACAAAAGGCCGGTCAAACAATGGCAAACTGCAGCCAAATGGCCAACAAAAGTCGAACCGAGAGGAAAAACGGACGTGGGACGAGGGAAACAAACGAAGGTTGAAAGGAAGGACGGAAGGAAGTAACTTGGCTCAAATCAAGAACATGTAAATACAGTCAGGCCAACGTTTGACGCTTGGCTAGCCACTGTCCAAACTCCTGACCCCTGACCCCTGACCCCAGTAGCACGGATAAGAGAATTGTAAATTACAGTTGCATTCATTCAATTCCCGCCAAGGGATTCATGAATAAATAATGGCGCAACCCTGCTCCCACTCTGTCATCGGATATAGCTCATATACTTGTACATATATATATATATAGAGGGCGTCTGCCGAGGGAAATTTGAGACTCGCCTCATTAGCACTTTGTTTGCCCCGGCCACGCTGCGTATACGTAATAAGCGATATCACACCACAGCACACCGAACGCAATGCAAATAAGAAGCTAATTAGGCGCTGATTGATGTCTCTTCACAGCTAGCCACCCAACGCCAGTTGGCCAGCTACACAATATGGTAATGAATGGCAAACGATGGGTCTGCTGTCACTGCCACTGTCACTGTCCCAAAATGTCCCAAAAAGATAGGGAAACCTCAATGCGCTGCCAATGGGAATTGCATAACCATTGCAATCCCGCCTTTAGGGGAACCGCAGAAAGCAGGCGGCTGGAACTAAGCGCCTTAAGGCAGCATTTTCCGATTTCCCGACATTTTCCGTGCCAGTCTCTCTTTTCCAAAAAGCCAGCCGCCCCCTCCACTCATCAGCTGCCAGTTGTCGATTGTCAGTTGTCACTTGGCTGCCTCGTGTGGCCTGCTAATGCGCTGCGTAGCGTTGCATTGCACTGTGATGCGTCGCGACGCGACTCACATCTGAATGATGCAGCAACTGTATGTCGCAGGCTGCAAAATGCCAACTAGCAACTGGCAGGACCAGATAGGCAGCCCACTAATTGCCACCGAACGGAAGGCAGGCCATGGGATCACGTTAGTTATGCCACTGGGTTGCGGGGAGGTGGGGTTCCATGCTTAGTGAACGACTTTTTGCTTAAAAGTACAGCAGTTTTGTATTTTAATTAGTACACATACTCCTTGAACAAAAGAAACACTAATGAAATTGCAGCCAATAAATTGAAAACACTTGCAATAACATTAATATCAAGAATAGAAACCAACTTCAGCCAGCCAAAGTTGTTATCCCCTCACAGTCATTATTAAGTCATTCGGTTTTAATGCATAATCAATTTAGTGATTACCTCTAAAAGTTAGCTTAAAAACTTAACAATGTGATTTAATTAAACGTGAGCTAGCCCATAAAGCTAAGAAATTATACTGTTTAAATTAAAATGACCTAAGTTGCAAGGTGAAAGTGGAAGTTTGTATTTGGTAATTAGATTAAATTTATTTGTGAACAAGTTAGTGCAGGAAATTGTTTTGATTTACATCACTTTGCACTTTGGCCGGTGAGTTTCTCGGACTCCGCCAGAGGATTATGTCCCGGATGGCCATCATCATCGGACGGAACTTGGTGCGCTCCCAGTGGATGTTGTCGCTGCCGCGTTCTATCAGGATCTTGATCAGCCGCTCCATGCCGTCCATATCCCGCAGGATGGTCTTGAAGAACTTGCTGAAGAAGTTCAGTTCCCTCGACGTGGACAGGCACTCGACCAGCGGCCTCATGAGATCGACCACCTTGTTGGTGGAGTTGCTGCAGCTTTTGGGGCGAGGGAAAGTATAACTCTCAGATGAGGAAGCCCCGATCCCGTTCTGCTCCGGCTTGTGGTTCACTTACTAGTTGCGTATGAGCTGCATATTGGCGGACACGTATTTCTTGGCCAGCCGGTAGCCCACCGTGTTGGAAACCACCGCCTTGAAGGTTCGCCTGGCGTTGTGCTTGCGCACGCCCACACTCTCGAAGGTCCATTTGAGGACTCGTTCCAGGGCGAAGGTGTTCCGCGAACAGGCCAGGGCGGTCAGGAGCGACTCCTGCTCGGCGGCGAAGTTCGAGCGCTGGTACATCGCCTCCACGGTGTCCCGGTCCGACTCGGTGCCGAACTTGACCGCCGTGCAGAAGACCATCTCCCGCTCCCGAATGGTCATCCAACCGGCCTTCGCCGGCGTCCCCTTCGCGAATTCCTGGCGGGCCAAATTCAGGCAGGCGGGCAGCTCGTACTGGCAGGCCAGCCGCAGGATCATCGGCCGATGGGTCATGTTGCCAAGGGATTTCGAGGAGATCACCTTCTCGAATTGCCGCTCCAGCAGGATGCGCATAAAGGTCTGGGCAAACCGAAAAAAGCAAAAGGCCAAAATGCGTAATTCGGAGTTGGCTAAACGCCATTGAGAAATCAACTGATAGTCTACATAGTCTTACTTAGAGATTACAACTTTCCTCAAACCAATTTCATTTAAATTTCTTCAAAATTTAATGATTCTGATGTCTCTAACAAAAAATCAATGTAATGGTAACTTTAGACGTTGAGTTGATTTGCTGTTTCGGAATAATTTATTTTCTCAGTAAAACCTTAGAAAAAGATTTGTGGGTCGGCAAAACGCAAAAGACGAAATTAAATTACTTCTCTTTTTAAGTTTTGTGATTTAAACTTTATCATCGCATTTAGACTTTGTGATTCCTAACAAATTGACTTCTTGTTAACTTTCACTGACAGACTTGAACCTTAACATGATATAAAAAGTCATCATGTGGAAAAGGTTGGAAAAACTGCTGAACAGAAATGTTTTTATAGGCAGCCGAATATTATATTATGTTATGATTTGCCAAATTCAACTGTTTTATGAGAAATATGGTGGACCCTAAGACTTGCCCCTTTTTAAAAACTTCAGACCATTACTCAGATCTAAAGTGACTTTACATACGGAGTAAACATATCAGTTCTTCGCCTGCAGACCCACCTTGTAAATGCGGTAGCTGTGGCTCTTCTTGGCCACGTTGTTGATCCGCTCGAAGTTGTCCTTCGTCGCGGCCCACACCACGTACTCGTCCTCGTGCCTCAGGTAGCCGAGGATGCCCAGGGCCATGGGGTACTCCATGACGCCGCTCCAGGCGAGGCTGAAGAGGTCATCCACCAACTGGGCCCGGTTCACGCGATGGATGAGGCGAAACTTGACCGGATCTGAAAGCGTCTCGTTGAGCAGCTGCCAGTTGTGCAGGTCGTAGTTGACCCGCAGTGGAGCCGAGTGCTGAACATTGAGCAGCAGCCAGTCGCTCGGCCCGGCCATCAGCTTCTCCAGGCGGACGGGCGTGGCCTGGCTGCTCCTCTGGGAGATGGTGCAGGTGAGCCAGGGGATGGAGGTGGTGGCATTCGATTGGGGGCACTGGGGACAGCCGTAGCTGAGCGGGACCCACCAGCAGGTAGCCTTGGTGGCCCGCTGTCCCGCCTGCGGATTGATGAAGAACCGCTGCTGGCGCACCACCGCCGACTGGTCATCGTAGTTCCGGGTGACGGTGAGCAGGGGATAGCCCGGCTGCTGCAGCCAGGACTCCATCAGGCGCGTGATGTTCAGACCCTTGCCCAGGCGGCCATTGCGGTCCACTTGCAGCTGCAGGACGTCCCAGAAGTCCGAGGTGGTGGCACTGCGGTTGGCGTAGATCACCAGGAAGCGGCGCAACGCCATCTGCCACGCCTCGTCGCCCATGACGCGGCGCAGCATGTCCAACAGCACGGTGGCCTTCTGCACCTTCATCTCGCTGTAGGCCGCCCAGATGTGGGCCTCATCCGGCACCACCGTCGTCACCAGTTCCGTGTTCTGGTGCGCATCGAATTCCAGCACCTTCAGGTAGAGCTTCAGGGCGTGCCGCTCCTGGTAGGCCCATTCCGGACGCAGATCCTCCACACCGAAGCGGGAGAGGAACAGCGCGAAGGCGTTCTTCAGCCAGATCTCGTGCCACCATTCCACGGACACGAGGTTGCCGAACCACTGGTGCACCACCGTCACCGCCACCGCCCGTGCCACGCCCTGCTGGTCGGCCATCGAGCTGCGCTGGCTGTCGTACAGGATGGACTCCTCCGAGAAGGTCGGCAGGCCGCAGTTCTCCTTGGCCCCGAACGCAAAGTCAGGGAGGGCCATCTGGTCGATCTTCTTCTGCCGGAAGGTGCTGTTGAAGAGCCGCTCGTAGAAGGAGAGCAGCGGCGCCACCACCGTGTTGGCGAACTCCGTCTGCGACAGTGCATCCGGGCGGGCCCATGTGCTGATGGGACAGCCAGGCCGCGCATTGGACGTGAATCCTGGACGCTCGAACTTGCTGATCGCGAAGGCCACCAGGTACGTCTGCATCGGCTGGCTCTCCAGGAACTGCGTCCACACGTAGTCCTTCAGACTGGCGCTTTGGATGGGTGGCAGAGCATTTAATTCGCTATTGGAGCTATTGAATTTTCCCAAGTCCCTTTATTACAACTATATGTATTGGCAACGCGTGAATGTGTTCATTTTATCCTCCTTTTATATCTGGCGTTTGTATTAAGGAATCAATCCCTATAACGTGTTCTATTACTAGTAAAACGAGTCACCGATGACCAAAATCGAAATAAACATTAAATAAGCAGAAGAGGTCGGTGAAAAATGTAAGCTACACTTTAAATTAAAATGTTACCATAACTACAGTTTTATGTCTATTTTACTTGATCAGAGAATCCAACAAGACCTAAGACCAAACAATTCCTGAGAATAAGGGGATTTTAAATGACCTTCGTCAGATCAAGTAAGCCAAATATGGAAAGTTACCAATACAAATATAATCTTAACCAATACGGGAAAAATTATAGTTTCAAATAAATTTCTAAGCTTTTGCAGTCATACAAAACACGAAACAAATTTGGGAGCTCTCTTACATAAAAGTTAAATGAATTGCAATGCAATATCAGACTTAAGATGGGTTGTAGTAAAACCATTTGATAACAGAAATACAAACAATAAATTCGGTACACTTGGGCTATCCATGTTATCACTCAACCCTAAATAAAAGCTTTAAAAACATAATTTTTCACTAGGTTTTTCTACCTCAGCTTTGGTAAGCATTGTGGAGAATTGCTATAAAAAGCTATTGGGCCAATCTAAGTCAGGAATTCCCTGAGAAACAACTACTCACTGGCGGATGGTTCGTCTAACGGGCATGTTGGATAGAGCGCGGTACTGATGCGGATGGGCCAGGTTGATCTTGAACGGGGTCCTGAAAATGGGATCGTCGAAGCAGGGAAAGGCCTCGCGGGCGTGATTGGGCTCGAACTGGGTGGCCGCCATCCACTGGGCGAGGGTGGTGTTGTGGTCCACGTAGGAGCTGCTGTAGAAGCCGGTGTTGTCCCGCCTCAGAACACTGGTAAAGTCCACCTTCAGTTGGTAGGTGGTGTTGATTGTGAGAGCGTTCTTCAGGTAAACGGTCACCCGGCTAGATTTGTTATCTAGCAGTATTTTGGTGATCGTTACACCTTTTCCGCCCTTGGCCACCAAGGTCACGACCCTCCGCTTGCCGATCTCCAGGCCACGCGAGTTGAGCACCAAGCTCTTGGTGGCCCGCTCCGATCGCAGCTCAATGGTGGCCGTGCCGCCGAAGGGCTGGTACGGTTGGTTGATTCGCGTCACGATGTCCAGGCGGTACTGCAGCGGCACCACCCACCGCGGCAGGCGGCTCTCAGTGCTGCGACCTTGCAGCAGCGTGAGTGTGGTGAGTATTGCCAGGTAGCCCAAGTGCATGACTTTGCAGACTGGCTTCTGGAGTTTGTTTTGCACTGAGAACGGGCTGGGCCGTGTCCAATTGGCCATTCGTCAGGCCGATGGGATGCTATGCATCTAACTTTCAACCATTTTAATACCCCGTGATTCGATGGTATTCGATATTGACCATCGTCATTTGACATTATTTGCCTACATTTTGACAACTTAAAAACGGGTCACGGGTCAATGCCTAAAAAATTAGATTAGCCCATTCAATTTAGGAAAAATTACCTCATTTAGGATTTTCACTAAAAAACCAAAAAAATCGAGATAATTTTTTACAGGGTTTAGCCAAAATTTTTTCGTAAGGGTTTATTGAAAATTTCATTACGAATTCAACGATGTATGACATTCCAGCATTGGACAACTATTTCCCAGGGTTAGATTAAATAAACGAAAGATCGAGCCGATGTTTTCCAAAATATTTTTCATAATGGATACCCTCATGATTTTTTTCAAAAAATATAATTTTTAAGCTGTGAATACCAATTGATTGGAAATTTAATAAAGAATTCAACGAGATAAGACATTAAAAAATTTGACTAATATATTACATGGTGATGATCAAAACAACAAAACACGAATTGATTTTATAGGGCCATCATCAAATTTGATTGCAAGGGTATTCTCGTTTCCAGTATGTAAAATGATCTTGGCTAGTGATCACGTTAAATTAAATTAAAATCATAACCTTTCAGTTCTTATCATCTGAGAACAAGTTTCTATAAAAAATGAGTGGTATAATGTGCCAAATTAATTATATTTTATTTATTTTGAATACCTATTTCTTGGTCATCTTGGTCACAAATCTACAAATTTCCTCTTTAAATCTCTCCCGAATCGGTGGTGGTGTTATCAGTGGAGTCATCAATAGAGTTATCAGTGGAGCTGCTGTCGGTGGTGCTGGCAGGCAAACTATTCTCAGTGGCGGTAAAGAAATGTCTTGGGCGACGTGTGCGATGTGGGAAACGCAGTCCACATCAGTCACTCAGTCCACGCAGTCATTATCTTTAACACCGCCATGACCGCCAATATAGATAATATCTCCATCGGCTAAGTTAAAGGCATCCTTAAGTCCTTTGATATCAAGGCCAGCCTTAACGCCGACTTCACCGAATTGAAAATCAAATGTGTTAATTTGGGCCACGACCACTGACACCAGAGCCAGAAGGGTAATTGCAATGTAGGCACGCATTCTCAGACTTTTGCTCCAATCGCAACTGATTTGAATTGCCAACGCCAAGCCCCTTTTATACCCAAAAACTCGAAAACATCACCAAAATGCAGCCAAATCCCCGTGACGTCAGCTTCATCTGTGTGCTTAGCTGGAATCTCCGAAGAATGGAGAATTGCTAGATTGGGAGGTTATCGAGCTCAACTCGAATTGTTCGCCTCTAATTATTCGCTTGCATATTGCTGTCATCCATCGTGTGGCAACAGCTGGCCCATGTTTGAATTAAATCTATTGTTTCTATTTATACCCGTTACTCGTAGAGTTAAAGGGTATATTGTATTCGTGCAAAAGTATGTAACAGCTAGAAGGAAGCGTTTCCGAGCCTATAAAGTATATATATTCTTGTTCAGGATCACTAGCCGAGTCGATCTAGCCATGTCCGTCTGTCCGTCTCTCCGTCTGTCCGTCTGTCTGTCTGTCCGTCTGTCTGTCCGTCTGTCTGTCCGTATGAACGCTGAGATCTCGGAAACTATAAAAGCTAGAGGATTGGCATTTTGCATGTAGATTTTAGGAGTTCCTACGCAGCGCAAGTTTGTTTCAAAATGGTGCCACGCCCCCTCTGACGCCCACAAGCCACAAGCTGTGGCCACAGTTTTGATGATATTATGAAAATTTTAATTGATATGTATTTGTTTCGTCAATAAATATCGATTGGCCTAATAAAAGTTTGCCACGCCCACTCTAACGCCCAAAAACCCATTAAACGCTTAAGCCTGGCTAGCGCCTACATTTCCGCCTTTCATGGCGCCATCTAACGGATAACTTTGGAACAGCTGGCCAAGGTGCTCAACAGAGTCAATGTTAATTCTCGATAAGGATTTCTATTAAAGGAAATTGCGATGGTTTTCATTTGTCAATACCGAACTATATCCCAAGAACTATGCAAATCAAATCAAGTTAGCCAAATTGGAGGTCTGACTCAAACAATGGCGTATGTGTGTATGTATGTAAGCATATACATATGTATGTATTTACATTGTACACAGTTGCAATTGCCCGGCAAAGATAACTCCTTTCAAAGAAAGCTATTCGCTATACCCGTTACTCGTGTTGTGCAAACATTTAGTCTTTAATATACATAATATTATTTAATACTTAATCTTATATTAAGTTGTTTAGCTGAGTAACGGGTATCTAATAGTCGAGGCACTCGACTATAGCGTTCTCTCTTGTTTTATCTTAAATGCTTGAGTTTGAAATGACTGTGGGGCTAAAGGGGAAGATTTGCTGACATCGACGTCTATTTTGCAAATGATCAATATTTACCTTTATAAAAAAACAAGAAAAAGGTTTTTAAATTTGAAAAATATCTCGATTGTGCTGCTATATTCCCGAAATAAAATTGCAGTCAGACAAAACATTTTTTGTGTCAATTTTGTAACGTTTTTAAAATTTAGTAAAAACAAAAATACCAATGAATATGGAACTATTGGTCCTTGGTCCGGTCCTGTATACAATTTACACTTCGGATCTTCCAAACCCTGTTGCTCCTGGTACACTGATTTGCCCTAGAATGGAGCACCCGAAACCCGTTTTTTTTTTGTGATCTTTGGAAATAATTTGTCAATACACGAGAATAAGTTCCATCCTTGTGTGGCGTGTTTAACGAAGATATACCAAAAAAAAAATACCAGTATGCTGTGTTCTTTTATGAGAGAGATTTAGTTCTATTCACTTTCATGTTTATATCATTTATACATTAAAATATATTAATGGTTGAAAATTCTATGAGCTAAAATAATTTGGTAGCATTCTAGGAGACGATGGTAAGAATTGATGAGACTTTCGATAGATAAGAGCAATAACAAATAGAAATGTAAATGATTACGTTAGTTTTATTCAATTTCGACTGAATATGGAAGTAATAATTCGAAATGCTCTTCGATGGGATCTGAATCAGAATTTGTGGCTTTCAGTTCGGTTGCAGATGGGGGAAACCCAATCGAAATCGCATACATAAAGTGGGTTTCGGCGACAGGAAGAAAAAAGGCGACAAACCACAGCACAATGTCATTAGCGCATGTCGCTTTCCTTTTTCACTCGTTATCTCTGTGTGTGTGTGTGTGTGGGTTGGGCAATAAATTTCCAATTTTCGTGCAATTTTCGTAGAGCAGCACGGCATACCTATTGGAGGTGACTTCCCAGTCCGAAGCGCTGGGCTTTAGGAGCCTGAACAGGCCGGCCTGGCGTACTCATAAATACATTGACCAATAACATAACTTTTGTTTGTGTTGGTATATTGCCAAATGACCTCGTTACCCCGCCGGGAAATGGCCAGGAAAGCGGGGAAAGCAGGGAAAGGCAGGAAAATCACTGCCACAACACGACACAAAAAGGCGACAAAGGCACCAAACGTGCGGCATATGTTGCTATGTGGGTGGATGGATGGTTTGTGGATGGGTCGTTTGGTGGCTGGGCAGTTTTGGGTTGTTTCAGTGGAGGCGGCGTGTCCCTGGCCCCAACGGAAGTCGGCTGAGGCCCCTCAACATTCGTCCGCCTTGCTCGCAGTGCGGCATTATAATTAATGGGCATGTTGGGGCATGCGACCCCCGACCTTTCGTACGATTTGGGATATTAAATGTAACGATGCAAGCGGCGAGGCGAGACAGTTGGCTATGAATACGACATGTAGTGTGTGACGAACCAAACAGAGTCAAACCCAAACCCAAACCCAAGCTCAAACCCAAACCCAAACCCAAACCTACTGTCCACAAGGTAGGACTACTGCTGCTGCATCTGCTTCTCCTGCTCCTGCTGATGATGATGATCACATGCTATTAAACCGCAATACAATGGCAATTTTCAAATAAATGATTTATGGCTCTGGACATGACACACACAGCTGTCGTGTGTGTGCGGACTGCTGGAAAATGCCAAAACTGCCGCAGTCCTTTGCTGCCATAAACCAAATGCCAGAGACCGGTCCAAAAATCTACAAAAAAAAAAAAAGCGAAACGAAACGAAACGAAAAAGAGGCACGAAAGCCTGAAAAACTGAGAGCCAAATGCCCAACGGAAGGTCAGAGGTGCTGACTGAGATGCTGAAAGTGAGGTTTCGGTTCGGGTTTGGGCTTGATGCATGGCCCTGGGTTCAGTAAGTCGATTTCGTCCGGCCAATTGTTCGAACTGCAGCCAGTGAATTAAGCCAGGCCAATTGACACATGGCCAGTGCCAGCCAAGAATTCCCTTCCATTTCTTTTGTACTTTTCAGGAGCCATCGCATTCATTCAAAGGCGGCCAATATATAGTACTTTCGATGAACGATTATAAAGGTGCCTTTACTTTTCAGTCCAGTCAATTGGAGCTCAAGTTAATTGTTCGAGTATGGGAACTCATAGTTAATTGGAAGTGTTTTTTTTTTACATTTTTAAATACGCTATTAATGTTTGCATCAAGTATTTGCAAAATGCGTTAATGACACAAATTCGTGTCGTAATTTTTACATACAATAACACAAAAAATCTACTATTTTAATAAGCAAGAATACTCTTATGAACTACTATATAAAGTGTAGTAAGAAAAAATGCAGTATGTTTGAAAAAGCTCCATTATTTGATTTATTCTTAAAGTTATTCTTTAGAAAATGTTTTGATGAGCTGAGGTATATGAAGAAACAGTGTGTGCAATATTAAGGATTATCATCAGCAACATCTGTCGGAATTCTTCGGGTTTCGTCAAAAAAATCTAGAGAGTCCCATTCTAATTTATATCCATTACGTTAATGCTCTGGGGTGTTGATCAATTTG